CTCTCTCTCTCTCTCTCTCTCTCTCTCTCTCTCTCTAATAAAGAATATTTAATACCAAACTGTAACGAAACAATTGCTATAAAATTGTTTGCATAAATACTTTTTACTGAAAAATGTTTTCATAGATTTAAGACTAGATTTAAGTTTAATTTATAAGAGTGTGTAAAACAGTTGTCAATGTATTGCAATACAAAAGGGCTATCAATGAGAGTGTGTATAAAATATTAGCTCAAAGAGTGTGTATAAAAGGACTATAAACATAAAGTACCATGGTACAACAAACAGCGCTGTAAATGGTTAACCAATTAAATGATCATGATCAAGTGTATGATAGCCCAAAAAGTCCTTTTGTCATTTTACATTTATTATAACTTTATGAAATAATAATGAAGTATTGATACTAATGAGATAGTGCTAACTAAATAATAATCATTAAGTGATTACCCTTTTTGCTCACTCACTCTCAAACACACACACCATAGTTAAAGCAATACAATATAATACCTGGTCAATATTGTCTGATTTTTATAAATTACTTATTTTATTACTTTTAGTTATTTTTTACAAATATATGTAAAGTTATATTTAATGGATTACTTTGTAAACCAGCTTTTGCTGAAAGTGATTCCAACAAAGATTGATTTGACTTGATATTTAATGTTGATTATAAATTGTCGATTAAATTCTGTGCTTTAAATTGTTTCTTTATAAGCAAATAATTTGTGAATAATATCTCCGCGAATTGCTATTAGAAATATATGTAAAACTAATCACGTGTTAACTCATAATAACAGTAGGTTTGTAATAAACAAATGATGTAGTAACAATCACAATAAAAACAATGATACTGACCACGATTATTTTCATGTCGATTTGAATCGAGTTGGATGAATCAGGGTCGTTTTTAAGACCAAATAATATCTGTAATAGCATATTAACCAGGCTAAATATTTTCACTTCTTTTAGTATGTGTTGAACTGAATTCACTTTATTATCAGTGAATCGTTTGCCTAATAGTCGTTGAGATTCTTTTACATAGATCTCAATCAATGGTATAAGAGTGGAGTCCTTGTGATAGACATATGGTTTCCTCATATCCTGTAGAGATCGGCCCCATTCGTTGACCAGAGTGCCAAAGTCGTGGCCCCGGTATCCATAGCTCGAGTACTCGTAATCGCAAAACAATACCTTTTCATCAATATTGTCGTTGCAGTCCTTGTCCTTCAATACCATTATATTAGCCCTTTTAAAGTCATTGTGACAGAAAACCAGTGGACTCCCGGACCTGTCGGCCCATTCACTTACAAACTCGATCTCCGCTTTCAAATCATGTGTTTTTAATGCCTCGCAATTGACTTCTTTGATCAGTGTTTGGGTTTTAGAGTTATTTTGTAATTTTTGATACCAATCGTAAGCAATAGTGGAGAACCAGTGCTTGCGTTTTGTGGGCACATCCATGGCGTGCACGCGAGCCAACCCTTCAATCATTTGTCTCACGAGTTGTGGATTATTTTGGTCATCTAGTTCAAATTGTCGGTGCTAGGCAGTTTATAAATATTATTAAAAATACATAACGCATGTTATATATCGGCTGTAATATTTACCTTATAATAGGCCAGAATCTGCCCCCCAGTGAACATACCGTACACTCTGGGACCCAATCCATTACGGGATACCATTAGACCCACAACAATATCGGTCAGCCTCTCGTTCTCAGTGTCGCCATTATTGTAATACTTCTGTCCATACAATCTGACGGCCACTTCTCGTGGAACTGGTGTCGACACTTCGTCGGCCCCCCTCTTAATGCCGCAGTAATACAACTGATTAGTCATTCCTGCGGTGATCCGTTTCACTTCAATCGTGTCCACCGTTTGTTGTGTCCAAACGCCCGACAAATACTGTTTGCATAATTGCAGACATCTGTCGGCGATATCAACGGGTGTATCACCTCGGGTGAAATCAACATGGTCGATGTCCAGTTCGTCCAGTGATTTCAACTCTTTCAGTGTTTTCTTTGCTTTTACTTCATTTTCATTGACAATATTTTTGTCGCTTTTTGTTTCCATTGTTTTTAGTGTTTTTCGTCTTAAAAGAAGTGAATAAAAGAGTGAACGACAGAAATAGTGGTTTTGTTTATCGATACTCTAGAAAATGTTTGTTTAGCTAATGTTTATATAAATGAGATATCAGTTAACAAATCAGTCATTATTACAAGAGTTATGAAGTAATCGCCTATTCATTCGTTAAGTCATATATTGAATAAATCATAAATTAGACGATAACCGTATCCTAAATTGCACCTAAATAGCATGTGACATTTTTAAATGATTAAGGTTATAATATATTATAAGGCATATGTTTAAGTAATTAGAATTATTTAAACAAAGGACCATGGTCAAATTACCTGATAACATGACCATGGTGTATTGTATACTTATTGGTTAATTACAAACATAATTGGAAAAAACATAAGGGGTTTTAATTAGATAAATGGCTGTACTTTTAAATTAATATCTATAAAGATTAATTATATGCCAAATAAATTAATAAAATCTTATCATACTATTAAAAACCAATCAGTTTTATAATTATTCGCACGATTTAATTACTATCAATTATAATGTTACATGTACTGTATTTCCACATCAAATATAAATTTTTCTTGTACTTGTTGTAATTAAAAAATTAATTTAATTAATTCTTTTAACAATAATACGATATTAATAAAAAATGATAATAAAATATATTAAGATCTGATTAAATGTTTAATAATTAATATTCAATTTAATATTAATACAGTATATGATAATGAATATTAAATTACGACATTTAAAAATTTAAGAAAATTATGTAAATACATAAATTTAGTTCAAATGAGTTGATTAATATAAATTATGCGAATATTTTATAAAGGGTTAAATGAAAGTCAAAATATTTATACAGTAATTTACAAATTGTCAAAAAGGTGTTCAGCGGTGAAGCGTTTCTTTAAGCTCAAAAAGTTATTAAACCCCGACTCAGAGAATTGCTATAAAAATTAATTAATAAAGTATGATGTTAGATTTTAATTATTAATTCTAATTAAAATGTTAATTATTAATATACCAACCATGGCCAATTTCTTGTCCATATCAAGAGCATCTCTATCACGACTGTCTTGTTTGAGGCAAAACAAAACGCCAAACATCGAGATAACCAAAGCAAATATTTTCATTTCTTTCAGTATGTGTTCGACTGAATTGAGTTTATTATCTGAAAATTTGTTGCCTAATACTCGTTGAGACTCTTTTACATACATCTCAATGAGTGGCAAAAGAGTGGAGTTGTCGGGATAGATGCGTGGCTTTTTAAAGTCCTCCATAGATCGGCCCCATTCGTTGACTAGAGTGCCAAAGTCGTGGCCCCGGTATCCATAGCTCGAGTACTCGTAATCGCAAAATAAAATATTTTTGTCGATAATTGCATTACAATCGTTGTCTTCCAATACCATTATATTAGAGCTCCGGAAGTCGTTGTGACAGAAAACCATTGGACTCTCGCATTTGTCCACAACTTGTTTAAGAAAATCCATCTCCGCTTTCAGTGAATGTGTTTTCAAAGTTTCTAAATTGAGTTCTTTTATTAGGGTTTGAGTTTCGGCGTTGTTTTGCGCTCTAATATACCATTTGTCAGCATTTCTGAAGAACCAGTGCTCACGCTTTGTGGGCACATCCATGGCGTGCACGCGAGCCAACCCTTCAAACACTTGCCGCACAAGTTGTGGATTATTTTGCTCTGCTTTTGTGAATTGCCGGTGCTTTGAAAGCAAATGACAAATTAGTTTTCATTCAAACATTAGCTAATATCTGTTTTATTCACAAATATTTACTTTATAATAGGCTTGAATCTGTCCCCCAGTAAACATACCGTATACTCTGGGACCCAATCCATTCCGGGACACCATTAAGCCAATAATAATGTCGGTCAGTCTCTCATCAGCCAACCCATCGTTATTGAAATACTTCGGTCCATACAATCTGACGGCCACTTCTCGGGGAACTGTTGTCGACACTCCATCGGCACTTTTAATGCCGCAGTAATACAACTGATTAGTCATTCCTCCGGATATTCTTCTCACTTCAATGGTGTCAACCGTTTGTTGTGTCCAAACGTCTGACAAATACTCTTTGCATAATTGCAAACATCTGTCTGCGATATCAACGGGTGTTTCACCTCTAATGAGATCTATTTGACTCAAATCTAAGTCATCCATAGATTTAATATCTTTCAATGTTTTCTTTGGTTTCACTTCATTTTCACTACAAACAGAATTTTGCTCTGTTTTTGTTGCCATTGTTTTGTTGTTTAGTGTTTTAAAAGTTAAGAGAATTTACTAACGAATTCAATAAATAGTGAATTAGTTTATATGACTTTAAATAGGATTTCTTTCACTACTTTTATATAAATAAGATATCACTCAATATGTTGTAATACATAACAAAATTACTCGTGTTATAAATGCGTTATCATAACGTATTTCTTAATATTTAACTAGATTATGATAAGTTACACTACTGCTATTGTGCAAATATAATATGTTATAATCATCTCCACTTATGTAAAGTCCACTCATCTTTACTTTACATTTTAAATTTCCAGTAATATCATTATAAAGTATTATATCAATAGATAGATTATACAAGTTGTGTACAGTTAGCTACAGTAGATTCCACTGGTTTTATTCTTCTAGTATATTTTTTTTAATTAAATTTTAACAATACAATTTACAAAATATGAGATTTAATATTTAAATTGATTGTTAATATAATATAATTTATTTATATATTTATACTTATTGCTTATAACAATAATAAATATTAAGATCTCATTAAATTTTTTAATAATTACAGTATTTAAATTTAATAATGAATCATAAATCACTACATTTATAAATTTAAATAAATACATAAAATTAGTTAAAATTGGTGAATTACTATAAATTATGCAATTATTTTATAAAGTGTATGGAAGTTAAAATATTTATAATTTACAACTTTTCAAAAAGGTGTTCAGCGGTGAAGCGTTTCTTTAAGCTCAAAAAGTTAGTGAAAGCCGACTCAGAGAATTGCTGTGGAAATTATTTAATAACCAGTGTATCATGTTAGATTTTAATTTCATAATTAATAATTATAATGTGAAAAAAATAATTGAATTGGCGGCAAACAGAGTGAGACTATCAGATATGCATTTGAACAAGGCAATAATGAGTATTAAAAATAATACATTATTAGTAATACATTATTTTTAATACTCATTATTGCCTTGTTCAAATGCATATCTGATAGTCTCACTCTGTTTGCCGCCAATTCAATTATACTAACCATGGTCAATTTTTTGTCCATATCAAGAGAATCTTTATCACGACTGTCTTGTTTGAGGCAAAACAAAATGGCAAACATCGAGATAACCAAAGCAAATGTTTTCACTTCTTTCAGTATGTGTTCGACTGAATTGAGTTTATTATCGCAAAATTTGTTGCCTAATACTCGTTGTGACTCTTTTACATACATCTCAATGAGTGGCAAAAGAGTGGAGTCTTTGGGATAGTCATGTGGTTTTGAAAATTCCTCCATAGATCGGCCCCATTCGTTGATCATGTTGGCCAAGTCATGGCCCCGGTATCCATAGCTCGCGTACTCGTAATCGCAAAACAATACCTTTTCATTGATATTGTCGTTGCAGTCCTTGTCCTCCAATACCATTATATTAGAGCTCCTGAAGTCGTTGTGACAAAAAACCATTGGACTCTCGCACTCGTCTACAACTTGTTTGAGAAAATCCATCTCCGCTTTCAGTGAATGTGTTTTCAAAGTTTCTAAATTGAGTTCTTTGATTAGGGTTTGAGTTTCGGCGTTGTTTTGCGCTCTAATATAATAGTTGTCCGCAGCTCTGAAGAACCAGTGCTCACGCTTTGTGGGCACATCCATGGCGTGAACGCGAGCCAACCCTTCAAACTAGACATGCAACTAAATTTCCCTTTTCCCTCTTCCCTGCAGGGATTCCCTTTTCCCTTAAGGGAAAAAGAGGGAAAGGGAATGGAAAATGAGTGAAGAGGGAAGGGAAGGGAATCCCTTATACACAAAGAGGGAATCCCTTATACAAAATTTCCCTCTTTTTCCCTTTAATTNAAGGGAAAAAGAGGGAAAGGGAATGGAAAATGAGTGAAGAGGGAAGGGAAGGGAATCCCTTATACACAAAGAGGGAATCCCTTATACAAAATTTCCCTCTTTTTCCCTTTAATTTTCAGTAATTTAAGAATAGTTTAATAACAAAATATGTATTATAAGAATTGAAATATGTAGGATATTGTTTTTTTAAACAATATGACATATTGTAAATACAATGCATTGTATTTTAGTGAAAACACGCTTTAACATCATTATTTGCTGTGATTTTTAAGGGAAAAAGAGGGAAAAATAATTAAGAGGGAAAATAAGGGAAAAAGAGGGATTCCCTGTTGCCTGTAGAGGGAAGGGAAGGGATTCCCTCTTTGCATACTTTAAGGGAAAAGGGAAGGGAAGGGAATTGAAAAATAAGAAAAGTGGCAAGTCTAGTTTGAAGTATAAAAAAACTAAAAACTTAATAACAAAATAATTGCTCTTTGATTACAGCATAGGGTTTGTTATATATTATAATATAAGGGTAAGAGATTCAGGCATTACAGACACAGTTCCCCGCTTTACTATCAGATTGCAAATAACTTATTGTTTTAATGCAATAAATCGTATTAAAAACTCATTTACAATGAGAGGGAAGGAGAGAGAGAGAGAGAGAGAGAGAGAGAAAAAGAGGGATTCCCTGTTGCCTGTAGAGGGAAGGGAAGGGATTCCCTCTTTGCATAGTTTAAGGGAAAAGGGAAGGGAAGGGAATCGAAAAATAGGAAAAGTGGCAAGTCTACTTCAAACACTTGCCGCACAAGTTGTGGTTTACTTTGCTCTGCTTTTGTGAATTGCCGGTGCTTTGAAGGCAAGTAATAAATTAGTTTTCGTTCAAACATTAATTGTTATTTGTTTTATTAATATTTTTAAATATTAATATTTACCTTATAATAAGCTTGAATCTGCCCCCCAGTGAACATACCGTACACTCTGGGACCCAATCCATTGCGGGACACCATTAGTCCGATAATAATGTCAGTCAGCCTTTCATCAGCCAAACCATCGTTATTGAAATACTTTGGTCCATACAATCTGACGGCCACTTCTCGGGGAACTGTTGTCGACACTCCATCGGCACTTTTAATGCCGCAGTAATACAACTGATTAGTAAGTCCTCCGGATATTCTTCTCACTTCAATGGTGTCCACTGTTTGTTGTGTCCAAACGTCCGACAAATACTCTTTGCATAATTGTAGACATTTTTCGGTGATATCAATGGGTGTTTCACCTCTAATGAGGTCTATTTGACTCAAATCAAAGTCGTCCATAAATTTGATATCTTTCAATGTTTTCTTTGGTTTCACTTCATTTCCATTACAAACAGAATTTTGCTCTGTTTTTGTTGCCATTGTTTTCTTGTTTTAACAGTTCAGAGAATTTGCCAAAGAATTTAATAAATAGTGAATTACTTTAAATGACTTTAAATGGGATTTCTTATGCAACTATTATATATAAGATATCGCTCAACAAATTGATTATTATTTCAAGGATTTTAGTATTGGTTCGTGTGATCAGTATATTGAAGGACATGTTTGAGCAACAATTTAAGCGAAATTGTGTGCAAAATATGTTATAATTGTTAAGTAATCATATACTGTCACAAATGTAGTGTTCCCATTGTACTAATATTAAGTGCATTTAGTTGAGTCTGAACCCAATATATTTTATAATTTAATTACTGATACAGTATTAAAGTTGTTTGAATAAGTGCATCATAAAACACACTGGATTTTAATGATAACTTAAACAAAGTTTATTAGTCCTCGTTTTCTGCTTTAATTTTTATTTGAATTAAATTACGTAATTTTTAAAATATATTTTATAATGTTGTCATGTTATTTCAATAATTTTTTAAAATAAAAAAACTAGATATATGGACCACAATATTACAGTTTACAGATTTGATCTAGCTCATTCCCTTTGGAAGATATTAAAAAAATCTGAGGCAACAGTATATAATAACGGACTATTTATATTGTAGAATTATTAAATGATTTTAACTAATTTTTATCATATGTATTAAAATTAATATTAGTAATAGAGATCACAATCCTATTCTGACAGCTATTCTAACTTAACAACTCAAAAAAACAATAATAAATATTATAATCCCATTATATTTTTAATCATTAGAGTATATAAATTATTATATACATTTAATAATGAATAATAAATTACTACATTTATCAATTTAAATAAATACATCAATTTAGTTAAAATGTGTGAATTAATATAAATTATTCAATTATTTTATAAAATGTTAAATAGAAGTCAAAATACTTCTAATTTATAACTTTTCAAAAAGGTGTTCAGCGGTGAAGCGTTTCTTCAAGCTTAAAAAGTTAGTGAAATATACTTCAGAGAATTGCTGTGAAAATTATTTAATAAAATATTGTATTAGATTTTGACATGATCATTTTAATTGTAATGTGAAAAAACAATTATACAAACCATCGCAAATTTTTTGTCCATTTCAAGAGAGTCTTTATCACGACTGTCTTGTTTGAGGCAAAACAAAAGGCCAAACATCGAGGTAACCAAAGCAAATGTTTTCACTTCTTTCAGTATGTGTTCGACTGAATTGAGTTTATTTTCATAAAATTTGTTGCCTAATACTCGTTGAGACTCTTTTACATACATCTCAATGAGTGGTAAAAGAGTGGAGTCTTTGGGATAGTCATGTGGTTTTGTAAAGTCCTCCATAGATCGGCCCCATTCGTTGATTATGTTGGCCAAGTCGTGGCCCCGGTATCCATAGCTCGCGTACTCGTAATCGCAAAACAATACCTTTTCGTCGATATTGTCGTTGCAGTCCTTGTCCTCCAATACCATTACATTAGAGCTCCTGAAGTCGTTGTGACAGAAAACCATTGGACTCTCGCATTTGTCTACAACTTGTTTGAGAAAATCCATCTCCGCTTTCAGTGAATGTGTTTTCAATGACTCCAAATTGAGTTCTTTGATTAGGGTTTGAGTTTCGGCGTTGTTTTGCGCTCTAATATACCATTTGTCAGCATTTCTGAAGAACCAGTGCTCACGCTTTGTGGGCACATCCATGGCGTGAACGCGAGCCAACCCTTCAAACACTTGCCGCACAAGTTGTGGTTTACTTTGCTCTGCTTTTGTGAATTGCCGGTGCTTTGAAGGCAAGTGACAAATTAGTTTTCATTCAAACATACAAACAGTTTTCATCTGTTTTATTTACAAATATTTACCTTATAATACTTGTGAATCTGCCCCCCAGTGAACATACCGTACACTCTGGGACCCAATCCATTGCGGGACACCATTAAACCGATAATAATGTCGGTCAATCTCTCATCAGCCAAACCATCATTATTAATATACTTCGGTCCATACAATCTGATGGCAACTTCTCGTGGAACTACTGCCGACTCGTCGGCACTTTTAACGCCGCAGTAATACAACTGATTAGTCATTCCTCCGGATATTCTTCTCACTTCAATCGTATCCACCGTTTGTTGTGTCCAAACGTCCGACAAATACTCTTTGCATAATTGCAAACATCTGTCGGCGATATCAACGGGTGTTTCACCTCTAATGAGATCTATTTGACTCAAATCAAACTCGTCTATAGATTTGAGATCTTTCATTGTTTTGTTTGGTTTCACTTCATTTCCATTACAATCAGAATTTCGTTCTGTTTTTGTTGCCATTGTTTTGTTATTACTTGTTTTAAAAGTGAGAAGAATTTGCTAAATAATTCAATAAATAGTGAATTTAAGTTTAGAATCTAAACTTTAAATGACTTTAAATAGGATTAGTTTCATACTTTTATATGAATGAGATATCACTCAATAAATTGATTATTATTTCAAGGATTTTAATTTTGATTCGTGTGATGAGTAGATTGAAGGATAGGTTTGAGCAACAATTTAAGCGAAATTGTGTGCAAAATATGTAATAAATGTTAAGTAATCAATGATTACTAATCATATACAGTACTGTCACAAATGGGAGATAACAAAAACACCTTTAATTGCATACAATTAAATAGCCTAATAGCATGTGAGTAGTTTAACGATGATCATTTGTTTTATTTGTATTGTTATTATAATTTATTGCTATAAAATACAAGTGAAAGTAAAATAAAATAAAATGCAATTTAATTAATATTTAGAACTGATCTGGTTTCCTTTGCTAAAACGACCATATTTTGTTGGAAAGTGCATGTGATTGTTAAATCAACATTATCGAACTTAATATTACATGATGTTTAATTTTTGATCTATAATCCCAACACAATATTCTTGAGTAAGATTTAAGGCTATATTGAAATGAAATATTGTTCCCGTAATACTACAAAAGTGCATTTAGTTTAGTGTAAACTCAATATACTTTATGATTTAAACACTGATAAAATTGTTTGAATCAGCGTATAATAAAACACACTTTGATTATAACTCGAACAAAGTTTATTAGTACTTGTTTTCTACTTTAATTTTTATTTGAATTAAATTACGTAATTTTTGAGTATACTTTACAGAATAAAATTCTAGTTGAAATTAACTTTACATTGTTTAACTTTATAAAATATTAATATTCTCAAATAATATACTTATTTATTTATCATAAACTTGATATAATATTATATTAATTTAAGAGTAACGCCATTTTTTAATTAAAATTCGTTATGTTTTTCAACTATGTCTGTAATTAACCAAAAACCAATATGGTCATGTGATCAGGTAAACATATAAGTTTTAATTTTAAATACAATATTAAAAATCTCTAATAATGATGGATAACTATTATTAATGAAACAACAACTAAATAAAAATCATATTAAATTTTAATGTAAGAATTTTATATTGTACTAGTAAAACTAATAATAATGATGATTCCCGCCCCCCACTACTCTCCCCCCGTTAATAAATAATTTTAAAAACTTCAACTCAAAAATGTTTCAATATTTTGTGATTTCATTTCCTGTCTGCCTATTGTCTGATGAGTCAAATGTCAATTCAAATGAGTGCTCAAACCATTGACCAATATTGAGGGTTGATAGGCATAAATGCATTACCAATACTGACACCCACTCAAAATAGGTGGTTATTTTAATTTATAGAAGATTTATAACCTGTTTGTAATAAATATCTGGTTACTGTCAAAACTACAGTGTATTAAATATAATAATATTCTTATAATCTTTATATTATACTTTACATTATTATTCATCAATTGTTACTTTATATCACTTATTACCGTATTACCCCGCTTATAGGTGCATGCACTTATATGTGAGTTTTCACACAAGGGGTGCACCTATATCCGGATATAGGTGCGGTAGTTTTTGGCACATTTTTGACTTTCAATTGAAATTTACATATACCTTGAAATGAAAGTCAANGTAGTTTTTGGCACATTTTTGACTTTCAATTGAAATTTACATATACCTTGAAATGAAAGTCAAATGACTTATTATTAAACTTTGAACTCTAAAATGTTACTTTAAATGTTAAAAATCTATATGTATTTTCTTATCTATTTATGAGCTTGATGAATAATGAGTACATTAGTGTAAAATATTTCATATAATGAACATGTCTTTAGGTGATGATTCATCACTAATGAATCAATTCAAATAATCAGTGAGTAAATGGGTATAAATGAAGAAATCAATGATCAAAGTATGACAAAACAAAGAAAGAAATTAAAATGAAGATTTACTTTAAATTATTAAATAACGTATCATTTATTCATTAATTTATTAAATAATTTTGACAAATAAATATTGGTGCACTTATATGTGATTTTTACACAAAGGGTGCACTTATATCCGGATATAGGTGCGGTAGTTTTGGTGACATACAAAATCTGTGAAATTCACTTATAAGTGCATGCACCTATAAGCGGGGTAATACGGTACATAATATGTTACATAATGTTATTTATGTAAAGTTACTCCAAGAATGCAAAGAAATTAATAATACAATTTAATTAATTTATATAATTGCTAAAACAATAATATCAAAAAATAAAATAATGTAACTGGTAGAATAAAGTTCGACAAAAATATTGTGAATTTAAAACATTTTTATTAAATTAAATATTTACAAAAAATTACATTTAAAAGACTTTGTCCAAAATAAATTTCTCCTTGAGCAAATAGTAATGCTTGTAAAACATATCGGTAAAAATCTAAATCAAATAAATAATAATCAATTAGCGGTTAAATAATTATAATAATTATATAATAATTAAATCACATATAATCTCAACAAACATACCATCGCTTCCTTCTTATCGAAGGGTATTTCTGAGACGAAAGAGTCGCTCGCTTTGAGAGACAGTAAAACCATAAACATATAAGAGATGAGCGAAAATATTTTGCCCTCTTTTAGGATATGGTCGCAGCTATTCCTCGGGTCTTCGCTGAAGTCGTTTCCCGATATTATTGTCGACTCTTTGATGTATTCATCAATAAATGGTTTGAACGCCGAGTCGTCGGGAAAGTTGGGAGGTTTGGCAAAGTCGGCCAATTCTCGGCCCCATTCGGCGAATAGAGTGCCAAAATCGTAGCCCCGGTTCCCATTGCATGAGTACTCAAAATCGCAGACAACTATACCGTCACTCTCTGTGACCATAATATTAGATCCCCTGAAGTCTATGTGTGAGAAAGTGATGGGCGAATCAATTGCGGTGATGATTGTCTTGAGCCAATCCAACTCCTCCCTAATGTCGTGCGCTTTGAATGTCTGACACTTGCATTCATCGATGAGAGCGTTGATATCAAACAGTTTGTACGCTTCGGCACTCGTGTTGTCGAAAAAGTCGAAAATCCAATTCGAGTTCTTCTTTATGGGAACAACTGTTGAGTGAATTCGAGCCAACTTTTGAGCCAATTCTTGGACCAGTTTTATATCATTTTGTTGCTCAACACGAAAGCCTTTATGCTATTAAATTAAAATAAATAATTTGTTATTAATTTAATTTAATTATAACAACATTTAAACATTACTTTATAAAACTTTTGTATTTGTCCGCCTTCGAAGAGTCCGTATATTTTGGGTCCCAAACCCTTTTCAGACATTATGAGCGCAATGATCACATCCGTAAGCCTCTCATTTCCATCGTGATCAAGATTATTAAAATGTTTACCCTGGTACAATCGTATGGCCACCTCATTGGGCTCGACTCCAACACTATTCTTGTACTGATCGTTGAGTTGACATAAATATAACTGATTGGTGAGACCACCGCTCAGTCTCGTCACCACCACCTCATCGATGCCAGCCTTAAGCCAAACGCCTCCCAAATAGTCCTGACATAAGTCATGACATTTCTCTTTGATGTCTTGAGGGGTTACCCCTCTCTCCCACTTAACCGATGTTATGTCAAAGTCGGCTAATTTACTCTCGATATTATTGTTAGTATCGCTCATTATTACGAAATGATACTTATATTACTGTATATTATTTAACAATTAAATGAAATGTTTATTTTATACTGAATAAAAAATTGAGAAAAAATTCAGCACTATTTATTCAGTTGGATATTTTTGCGATAAACGTTTTGAGCACTGCTGATAAATTATCAGTGATAAATAATAAGTGCATCGGGATCTTAAAGTGCTTAAACTACCTAAACTACTTTACTATATATGGTTTTGTACAAAAAGTACAGATCAATCATAGGGTACAGTATATTTCAAGGATTTATTTAAATGTTTATAAATTATAATTATAGAGTTTAAGCCGAAGGACTTTATCATTGTTTATACCCATCATGTGAAAAGTATTTCGTCTTTTTATTGTAATTATTAAACTTAAAATTTTATTGAATTATAATTACCTTAATTGACAATTAACTAATGTGAAATGATTTTAAATTATATTATGGTAATTATTTTGTTTTTATAAAATAATTAATTTAGTTATTATTTATAGTAAATATAAGTTTAACAATTATTATTGTTTAAAATTATTTGTTTAATACACCGTTTATTATTAATTAATTAATAATATTAATTCATCTATTTGATTTATTATATTTTTAAATAATTTATTAATTAAATTATTGAAGTATTAGCTAATTATTAGTACCGGTAATTAAAATTGTATGCAATAGCATTATAAACAATAGTTAATTATACTTAGTGTTCACAGTTATTTGTTAAAACAAATAAAACGAAATAAAACACACGAAATTTATAAATAATACAATTTCGTTTTATTAATAAAACCAAATAAAAACAAATTTTAGTCGTAATTAATGTAAAAATTTGACCAAATGTCACTTGTTTTTGTGAATGTTTTTAAATTATGTTATAAAATTACTTTACATTTGTGAATAGTTTTGTACATTTAATTGTTGTTCGGTAAATAAAATGCCGAAAAATAAAAACACATCAGATAAATCTATTAAATTATATCCTAATCACCAAATCTCATGGCCAAACAAGTGTCGAAGAAGTGCTGTATTGCAAATACTGTTCATTTGAAATTAATTGTTAAAACAAATAAAACGAAATAAAACGAAATTTTTGAAAAATTAATAATGAAACACTAAATAACACGAAATTTTTCTTGTAAATAATAAAACGAAATAAAACACACGAAATTTAAGAAAATAATAAAAACAAATTTCTGTGAACACTAATTATACTATAAATAGTAATTAATAATTATATAATACTTTAAATATAATTAATAATTAATAACAAAGAATTAAAAATCAGGAAAATCATATTAAATAATATCATTATTAAATAATTTATAAAATTGAAATACATTTAGACAACCATGATTATATAAAATAAATAAAAACTCATATTTTAAATAATTAAAAATACATTATCGTTTAGATAGAAATTGTTGTTTTAGATGATGATAATTCTTGTAAAACAACTCACATGGAATCTAGAAAACATCAAGGTAGTTAAATATCTATTGTCAATTAATTAATATTAAACATAATCTAAACTTACCATCACTTGTTTCTTATCAAATGGCATTCCATAAACAATAGACTCTTTGGATTTAAACATCATTAGTACAAAAAACATAACCGAAACCATTGAATATATTTTGGCCTCTTTTAGGATGTGGTCGAAGGTATTCCTCTTGTCATCACTGAATGCCTTTCCCAACAGTTTAGTCGACTCTTTGATATACGTGTCGATGAATGGCTTCACTACTGAGTCGTCGGGAAAATCCATACATTTGCCGAAGTCTGACAACTCTTTGCCCCATTCGTAGAATATTGTGCCAAAATCATAGCCCCTGTAGTCATAATCGGAGTACTCGTAATCGCAAACAACTATACAGTCACTCTCTGTGATCATAATGTTAGAGCCCCTGTAGTCCATGTGAGTGAACATCACCGGCGAATCAAGTTTGATGAGCAACTCTTTAAGCCATTCGATCTCCGCTTTCAAATCATACTTCAATAGTGTTTCGCATTTGCATTCATTGATCAGTGATTTCATGTCAAACGCTTCGATGCCCTCCGCATAGAAAGTGTCAATTGTTTGCAAAACACATTTTCCCGTCTTTTTTGTCGGAACCTCTAATGCGTGGATTTGTGCCAACTTTTTGGACACTTCTTCCACTAGTTTCGGGTCTTTTTGCTCCTCTTTTCGAAAACATTTGTGCTATTATTTTAAAAATAATTAATAATTAGTTAATTAAGAATTTGAGAGAGAGAGAGAGTTTAGTGAATACAAGTGGGAGAGAGGGGCCACTCCTAAGAGTTGCTCATCAAACTTGATTCGCCGGTGATGTTCACTCACATGGACTACAGGGGCTCTAACATTATGATCACAGAGAGAGAGAGAGAGAGAGAGAGAAAGAAAGAGAGAGAGAGAGAATTTGAGTTTATAAATAGTAAAATAATACTTTATAATATTTCAAGATTTGTCCATTATCAAAAAGTCCATATATTTTTGGCCCTAATTTAACCTCAGATGTTAATAACGAAATTATAGTATCGTTGAGTCTCTCGTTTTCGCTCTTATCGTAATTATTAAAGTGTTTGTCTCCGTATAATCTGATGGCCACCTCTTGTGGCACATCTCCGGCACTCTGTCTCTTGTCTTCATTGAGAGCGCAATAATACAACTGATTAGTGAGACCACCGCTCAGACGCTTCACTTCGATGTCATCGACGGTTACTTCAGTCCACTTTCCGGACAAATACTGTCGACATAATGAAAGGCACTTGTCTTTGATGTCGTCAGGAGTGGCCCCTCTCTCCCACTTGTATTCACTAAACTCTTTCTGCAAAGCGTCAATCGTTTCGTCTTTGACTGACATTTTTTAATAGTGTTTCAAAATTTTGTCTATTTTTTAATCACAATTTGAAAAATAACTTATTTAATGATATCTTAAAACCAGGAATTTATACTTTAGAAAATATTCTTGAGTGTGTTATACAAGTGATTATTTTATTTCTGGTGACAACGAGACTGTTTTAAATCAGAGAAATTTATCTCAATTCACAATTAATTACCCAATTCTTATATTATCGCTTTAAAAGAGATTAATTACTCTATTGCCAGAGTTTACGTTTGTACATAAAACAATTTTTATGATTTTAATGCCCATTAAGATCTATAAAGTGTACCAGGGAACTTTAGGTTCCTAATGCACTTTAGACTGATTATTAAAGCTGCTCAGAATATGTTTTTAAATATATTTATTGGTTAAGGATATATGTTTAGAACTTTGGGGGCAAACGAATTACATAATAAGGGTCATTTTAACAAAGTTTTATTTTACATATAAATACAT